GGTGCTTCACCAGGGGCGATTTACAGCCGAGGGGGATCTTTTTAATGTGGGAGACAAGTTTTCCAAATCGGGACAGCTCCTGAGCGATCAGCTCGTCAGATATAAACGGGAGGACGTTGGAAAGAATGATCTTTTTGGACGGAGTACTGAGGGGCAGAACAGACACGAACTGATCATTAATCACAAGTCCACTCTGTACAAGCTCATTGGCTTTTACAACAGCACTGTTCATGCGCGAAGCAGACACAATATTATTATACCCGACGGTGCTCCCCGCCGCCAAACAGCACTCCGCCACACTCGTGCGGCACTCCACCTTCACTCCATGCCGGCGAGAGAGGCTTTCATACAGCCTGGGGTTTTGGGACGCCATGCTCCCAGCAAAACGCCGGTAACAGACTCCCCGCGGGCCAGAGCCCCGCACACACCCCACCACACCTCACTCACTCACTCACTCAGTCACTCACTCACTCACTCAAACAAACTACAGATACAGACTGACAACAACAAAAACGGAGAAAAAAGGTTTGGCAAAACGCCAACCACTCACACTCACGCTCACCACGCTGCGCTCACTCTACCGCTCACACCCGCGCATGCGCAGAGAGAGAGAGAGAGACAGGGAGGGAGAGAGAAAGAGAGAAACAGAAAGAGAGAGAGAGAGAGAGAAACAGAGAAAGACTTTGACTTTCAATACACATTTGATGTAACCAGTACATGCTAGAAACAGATCACACAGAAATCAGCACAAATGCAACAAAAACATCACCTTACAAATTCACCACAAACCCACCAAGTCCATCCAGCTCACAAATGAGCCCCCCACCCCCCCACACACAAAAAAAGGTGTCCAGGTCATTCACAAGATTATAAAATGCAAATTCGACATGGAGTCGTTTCATCACAAGACCTCTCACCATTAGGACAGGGTCAGTCCCTCCACACCCCTTAATCCTGTTTTTTCTCATGCACCAGATCGCCAACTTCGCTGCTCCAAACAAAAAATTTAAAAGCACCACTTTGTCCTTTTTCAAAACCGAACATTTGGGACCATAAATGAACAAACTATCCCTAAAAAACCCTAAAAACATCAAACCCCAATTTTTGACTAACACTAAAATCAAACCTAACCGTGAACACTGCAGAAAAACATGAAACAGAGTCTCTGGAGCACCACAGAAAGGACAACCCTCCCCGACTGTGGGATCGATCCGTGTCGCATGTCTGTTCGTAGCTAAAATCCTGTGTACAATCCTCCACTGGAGATCGGCCATTCTCTTTTCGGTGGGCCTTTTGTACACAGACCGCCAGCTACCTTTTGGGGACGAGCCTGCCTCAACAACCTCAGACCATTTAGTCTCCCGCACATCCCTCAGGCTTCGAAAGTTCAAAACTTTTGTGCATGCCTGATACAGTCTCTGTTTAGTAATTGCACTGAAAGTCCCAAGAGTCGGGGTTTCCATGGAAAAAAGTGCCCCTTGAAACTCCTGCCAGTTCTCCTGACCCATGTCCAGTACAAGTTCTGGGTAATCCATGTCCATGATCTGCCAGTCTTCCACGGGGGTCGCATCCAGGTATTCAGAGACAGGGGCAGACAGGTCAGATTTTAGACGACCAAGCACCTGTGAAGCCAGGCGCACTGATCTTAGGTCAGTCATATCTGCCAGGTCCTCTGCTGTCATCCAGGATACACCCTGCCGCAAGTGGCGGATCTTACTCAAGCCCTTCTCCAAAAAGGTGACTCTCAATGCAGCTGAGAACTGGGACAATGCAGGTAAAACAGGGTTAAAAAACAGTGGTTCTTCAAAAACCCAGCGTGATGGAGCAATGCCCTCCCTGGAAACTGAAAAGAGCTTCCATGCTTGCATTGCTGCTGAGTAAAAAGGAGTTAAGCCTCCCGAGTCCACTGTCCCCAAAAAAATAGAAAAGAGGTGCTTGTCAAGGCCCATACGTCCAGCAACCTTTAGGAGGGCACAAGCTACATTGGTCCAGCAATGGTGTGTATGATACAGAAGGCGCTGCACAGCCTGCAAACGCAGAACAGCAATTCTGGATCGAATGTCTATCAGGCCCTGTCCTCCTTCCTGCACCGGGAGGTAAAGTACAGCAGCCCTGAGCCAGTGATGTCCATTCCAAAAAAAGTTTATCAATGCCTTCTGAATGTCATTGACCAGACCGTCAGGGGGATTCAGCACAGTAAACTTGTGCCAAAGAGCTGATGCAATCAGGTTGTTGGCAATCAAAACTCGGCCCCGATACGATAGTTGGGGTAGCAGGCGAGACCATGTAGACAACCTGGCATGGACCTTCTCCCTTAACCCCTCCCAGTTCTGGATCTGAGCCTGATCAGTGCCTAACCAAACCCCTAAAAACTTCAGACCAAATCTGCCCCACTGAACACCACCTGGAATCGGTGGCATGGAGAGGTTCTCATTATGAACACCACACCATAGCGCTTTTGTTTTGCTCCAGTTCAACTTAGCAGAGGAAGCTCGCTCATAAATGTCTAAGCACTCTTGTAAAGAATGAACATCATGCTCATGACGAATTACCAAAGAAATATCATCGGCATATGCCGAAAGCTTCACAGAACTTCCCTGAAACTGTAAGCCTGACAGCTTCTTCCTTAGTAAACAAAGGAAAGGCTCTACTGCCAGAGAATACAGCTGACCTGATAAAGGGCACCACTGCCTGATTCCTCTGCTAACTAGAACTGGAACACTTAAAACCCCTCCTGCCTTAATCATACAGGAGGCCCCAGTGTACAGCAGTCTAACCCAGGATAAAAACCTGGTCACCAAAACCAAAAGCTTTTAAGGTACCAAATAAATACTCGTGGTCAACCCGATCAAAAGCTTTCTCTTCATCAAGTGACAACAGACCAAACTCTGAACCAGACAATTTTGCAAAATCAATCAAATCTCTAAGCAAAAATAAGTTGTCATAAATTGATAGTTTAGGAATGCAATAAGATTGGTCTTCGTGAACCAGTGTGTGTAAAACCTCTTTGAGTCTGTTTGCAATGCATCGTGACAGAATTTTATAGTCCGAGCACAGAAGCGACACCGGCCTCCAGTTCTTAAGTAAGCAAAGGTCTCCCTTCTTCGGCAAGAGAGAGAGGACCGCACGCTGGCAGCTCTTTGGAAGCATCTTGGCCTCAAAGCAGGCCTGAAAAACACTAAACAAGTCCTCTCCGATGACTCCCCAGAAGGCCTTATAAAAGTCCACAGGCAAGCCGTCAATACCAGGTGCTCGCTTTTGCTGGGAAAGAACATAACTCGCGTTTTTTTGTGCTCTCAGCACTGAGCATATAAACTTATCCGGATCAGGAAAGAAATCAGTAATATTAACTGGCCTGCCTTTAGTCTCATCTAAAAAAGAGTTGATCTGCTCCACAGTGTACAACCTCTCACCACTAAACTGGCTACTCCCAATATCTGAAACTTCAGACAGCCTGTCCTCCTCCTCTTCCATCCCCTCCTCTACAGACATCACTGACCCTGACTGAGACTCACCTACTGCTACAGACTCCAGCTCAGTAACACTGCTCCCCTCAGCACACGGCCCAGCCTCTACACTCACCTCCTCACCAGCCTCACCATCCTCACCTTCCCCCTGACCAGCCTGCTGTTCAACTTCCTCCCTCACTGAAACAGTTTCCACCAGCCGCTCACTCACCTCCTCTCCTCGATTCACCTCCGGAGTAGCGACTCCTGACGTGTCTTCACCCGAGGCCGCGTCGTTTGCCCCCGCAGCCCCGCTGGGCCTGGCTTCATTAGAAGCCCGGTTCTCAGGCGCCTCGCTGCGCTCTCTAAGCGGGCACGTGAGCCGCTTATGTCCGACAAGTCCACACCCGAAACATTTCAAACTGTCAGTGCTGGCATAAACCAAATACGAGCTTTCTCCGTGAACCACATGGAAAGAGGCTTCTAATGTTCGATCCGGATTGTTTAGACACATGTACACCTGTCGACGAAAAGACAGGACGTGATTGAGAGCCGCATTCTTACAGCCGAGCGGGACCAGCGTGATCTCACTCGCAAATTTCCCAAATCGGCCGAGTTCCTTAGCAATGGACTTGCTGGAGAGGAAAGGCGGGACATTGGAGATGGTGATCCTGGTCGCCGGTGTAGACAGAGGAGACACCGGCACAAAAGTCTCCAACACCCAAATCCCGCTCTCCACGAGCTCATTCACTAAACGTTCCTCTCTCAGAAACACGACTACGGCCTTATTCATTCTCGAGGCGGAGTAGATCTGATCAAACCCAACTCTTTCTCCCACCACCAGAAGCACGTCTTCAGCTCCCGCTTCTGCCAGTGGGACACATCTAAAGCCATTGGCGTGGGAGAGAGACGGCGTTTCAGCCACGAGGCGAGGAGCCATGACTCCCCCCTCACTCACCGCTCTCAGCGGCCAACGATTAACAGGGCAGAACAGTCAGAAATTAGGAAAATAATACAGGGTAGAAACAGGGAAAGAGCACACGCTGACTTCAGCACAGCACCTCTCACAAACGCACCCTCACCCACCACCTCCCAGCATGCACCAGAGAGAGAGAGAGGGAGAGAGAGAGACTTTTTTTTTGACTTTTAACAACACTTTATTGTAACCACATCGTGTTACAGTATGTAAAAGTCACTTCAGGCCTTCTTGTGAATCTCAGCGCTTAAACCAGCACATAAAAACCAAGCTTACTGAATAAATAAATAGATAAAATAAGAATAAGATAAAAAGAGATAAATAAATAAAAGCACAATTCACTTTGCATTTAGTAAAATCAGGTGCAAAGCAAAGTTCGTCATCTAAAACCGAGCACACCGACTCCCCACAGCACCACACCACTTTAAAAGTCTTCAGGTCCGACATACACTTATAATAGTTAAAATCAATTAAAAGAGAGAGAGAGAGAGAGAGAGAGAGAGAGAGTGAGTGTGTGTGTGTGTGTGTGTGTGTGTGTGTGTGTGTGTGTGTGTGTTTTGTTCACTCAGGAGGTTATTTTATTTTAAACACACAGAATCCCAAACAAAAAATCCAGCGTATAGCGGTTCAGTGAATGTGGTGTTGAAAGTGTGTAGGTGTGTGAGTCTGTGTGAGGAGACGCTGTAGAAGGACAGAGAGCTTGCCGGACAGTCCAGATACACTCCTACTCTCTCAGAGCTGAAAGGAGGAGCAGAGAGTTCAGTGCTGTTATTGTTGTGACGGAAAGAGTATCTGTTATTAGAGCAGTCCAGACTCCAGGACTTTTCATTCCCTCCAAACCGACAGTCAGCACTGTATCCTTTCCTGCTGATTGATTTATATGTTACTGCTATATAAACCTCTCCGCTCCACTCAGCCTCCCAGTAACAGCGTCCAGTCAGACTCTCTCTACACAGAACCTGAGGATACCAATCAAATCTCTCTGGATGATCAGGATACGACTGTGAAGATCTCACATTCACCACCTTTCTGTTCCCGTCAGACAGAGAGAGAGAACTGTGCGCTGTGTTTGGATCCAGAGTGACTTCACAGGAATCTGCACACAAGAAGAGACATTAGAGTGAGTGACTGTGTGTGTGTGTGTGTGTGTGTGTGTGTGTGTGAGCATGTTGGTTTTTGTAGTTTACAAGGACCTTTCAGCTAATTTGAATTGTTTATTGCGTTTGTCTGAATATGCGCCAGTTTAATCAGACTTTTTTTATAGGGTTTAAATACCTGAATATGTCATTGTTGTACAGCAGCATTCATGCCTACATATAACACTAAATCACTTTAGCGGCCAAATCACACTGTTAGAATGGTTATTAAAGCCCAGTTAGTCTGTAGTTACTGGTCATTAAGTCTGTTCTGGTCTTTTCTTTTCCTTCGCTACCTATGCTACACTATTTATATAAGCCCATCTCAGATGTCAATCATGTTCTTTCACCAACACTTTTTCACTCGGATGTCCTTATAGGATGGTTGTCCCTGGACTGTTCATGCTGTGAATTCATTTAGTGATTCACTCATCAGAGCACATTCAGAAACTCAGCTAGTTCAAAAATAAAAGTGTGAGACTTCTGCTGTAAATAAGATCATCTTGAACTCCTTTTAGCAACAGTCAATCAAATAAAGAGAGAAACATATTTCACATATGAAAAGAACAAAATAAAACATATTTTTCTGTAAAGAGTGGAGCCATCACGGAAAATGGCTGCCATGGAGCTGAGAAAGAGAACTGAATCCAGAAGAAGAGGCAGCAAATGTTACACCTGTTTATAAAGACAAAGATGGGTTTGGTGTGAAATATATAAATCCAGAAAAAGGTAATTTAATATACATATTAATTGGCTGTATGTGTTTATTTGTTTGAGGTTAATGTGGTTTGATGTGGTCAACATGTTCTGTTTTCTCTCGTAGACTGTGGAGTATTCAGCTGTGTCCATTCTGATAAGGGAGGTTTTCTTTTGGATCACAGAGGAACTAATAACTAAACATGAACCTGAAAGGAGACAGAAAATCTATCATGATGTCCTGAAAGTGTTCCTGTCTGAATTTCATTACAGTGGAAAGGTTTTTGGTATGAACGATATTACTCTCTCATTTAGCTGGACACTGGACAGCCACTTCATTAAGACCACCTCCTCGTGGTATGCAGAGAAACAGATGGACTACAGTCTGTAACTGTAGAACTACAGAGTGAAACTATACGGTCAGTGGAGCTGATTAAATGGACAGAGTGAAGAAACAAGGAGGTGGACCGGTCTGTGTAATATGTGAGGAAGATGACTCTCGGGAGACTTGATGAATGTTGACCCTGTTAGCCCAAACAGCAAAATGAAAACACCCTTAGTAGTGGGAAAACCCCATCTGTTATAAGGAGCATTAATATGGAGATGCAGGGTATTTAAAGATGAACATTCACTGTGAATTAAAACAAGATTAACTGATGTTTTAATTTATAGTCTTTTTCTGAAACATTGATTCTCATAATCATATATTTACAGATGGCAAATGAAAAAGACCAACTACAACCACAAGAACAGGGTCTAATGCGGCAAATAGGATCATGGTTGGAACCACATTTCTGAATTTTACTTCTGTTTCTGGAACATTGCTGAGACAGATGTTCTGGTCACAACTAACCTGGTGACCGAGAAGGACCAGTTCCAGCCTGAGGAGCAGCTTCCACAGGTTCCAAATGATGCAACACAAAAGGTAATTTAGAGAAACTGTTGCTGTGACTGTCAGAAAAATGTTTCAGATGTTTTGTCAGAGTCACAGTGAATGTAATATTATATTAAAGGGCCCAAATCATGAAGAACAGAATTTTTTAAATAAGAGTAGGATGTGGTGTTTGAACACTGTCAGAGTCGCTCCCAGACCATTTAGGCATTGGAAACTAAGCTGCAAAAACAGCCCTTTTTTGAATTTGTTGTTTCTGTGATGTCATGAAAACCTACACATTTACACACATCCACCTATTCAGCCTACAGCAGTTTAGCCCCGCCCACTCACACTGAAGTTATAAGACTGTTTCTGCCTGGACTGCTTTTTGAATGAAGTACAATATGTTGCAGCCAGTCAAAGCAGAGCTCATTTATATGAAGCTTAAAAGTGCAGAAACAAAAACAGCCTGTTAATTTAAAAAAGGATAAAGAAAGGCTGAAAAATGGTCATCTAAAAATGAAAGATGTCTATTTTTGATACATAAAACACACAAACATTATAAGTGAAGCTCAGAAGAAAAATAAAAAACAAGAAAAATGTAGAATATGGACCCTTTAATGATTTAATCATTACAAAAAGACTGCAGACAGTTCCTGTTCTCAGTTTGTCACACTGATCAAAATAATTACATTTTTTTTATTTTTCGACTATAGATTTTTATACTATGATTGTCTGGATTTGAACAGATTGCCTGATTAAATCATGATGTTTTTGCCAACGGAACTGTAAACATGAGCGAGTCCCTGCAACTGTTTCAAGCTCGAAAAAATGCCCTGCATGTTGACGCTGCTGCATCACTCAGGTGGATTGGTCTGAGACGTAACGGTCAGTAACAGTCATTATGGCTAGATATTTAAAACAGCAAATGATTAACAGCATGTCTTTATGAATATGTCTTTATTTCATATTAGGTGGCCATTCTTATATTTATCAAATTATGATATTTTTGATAGTGATTGTCAATCACTGGATTACCTGATTCCACACAATGGAGAATAAGGATAGTATTAAAAAAAATGGGTTTGATTTGTTTTTGATGCTGATTAAAATCTTTAACAGTTCTGAATAAACACTGGACTACATGTGCTGCTGTCAGCCATCTCCTTAAGTGAAAGCTGCAGCTGAGGAGAGTTCATTAAATTTCTGTGTATTTCATTGGCATTAGTGCTTTATTTGTTCTCTCTTGTAGTTGATCTTGTTTCCGTCACAAAGTCTGCTCTGAAAAACTTGAAAAGAATGACAGAGATCTGGTGTCATGGGTAAGTATATTTACAGTTTCTTTAATGAACTGTTATCATTTTATACTGAGTGTTGTGATTTTCTATTTTCTGATACTAGCGGAAAAGAAATTCAAGTTCTGATGAGGATGAGTCATTATCAGATTAAGAATATGTGCCAGATATGAGTCAGATAATGAATCAGACAGTTCAGTGGAGCTGCAATAAGATATGAAAACAAAGCCCAAATCAGTGAAAAGAAAGTAAAACCTGTCTGATTCAAGTTCCGAGAGTGTCTGAAGGCCAGGGAAGGAGCTTGTTTGGAAGAAGAAGCTGACTTATTTTGTTATGAGGAGCAGTTTACAGATGTAGAATCAGATGTTAAATCAGATGTTGAATCAGGCAGCTCTAGAGATTGGGAAGATATACATTCAAGGAACGTTCAGGTGAAGCCAGTCTCAGAAATCAAACTGTCATAGAAAGCTGCAGCTTTAGGCTGTGGAACAAATGACTTCTGTCCATCCAGATCAGTCACTGTAACACCTACAAAAGATTAGAGGTGCTGCTAGTGAGACTGATTTTCAGGATGTATCATTGACAGGACAGGAGGAAACAACAGCTTGCTGAAAAATATCTTCAGCAAGAAAAATAATTACTGTTGCATTTGTGTGAAACCGCTGTCCAAAATTTCTCACCACTTGAAAACCCACATGAATGAGGCAGAAGTTTCAGAAGCACTGTTGTTCCCAAAGTACTCAAAAGGAAGTAAAAGACTGCTGGAAAGAATTAGTAACAAGTGTAACTATCAGCAAAATTCTGATATTTTACAGGAAGGAAGTGAGCTGCTTAAACTAAAACAAAGATCAAACATTCTGTATTTATCAACTAGTGCCGTCTTTCTTCAACAAACATGGCAATGACCTGACCAAATATGAGTATATTCAACAGAAGCTCCATGAAACTGGAAGATTTTGATGATTTTGTGCAGTGAGTCTTCTATACACAGCCTGGAAGAAGCTGTTAAACCTGTAAGTTTCTCAAGGGTTAATCAGGCTGTCAGGAAGGTGTCAGACTATGATGAGGAAAAGAACTGCTACTGAACGCCGAGCCTAGCACTGAAATTGGGGCACAATTTGCAGAAGGTCTGTGAGATCATTCACTGTAGGGCTCTTCTGGCTGAAGATGAAGAGTTTATGAAGTCAACTGAGACGTTCAAAAAGCTGTAAACCACCAAATGGTCAGAGCTGATCTCACATACAGCTTTAAACACACTGAATGAAGCAAAGTTCAACAAACCATCAACACTGCCTTTCATCATGATGTTCAGCTCCTTCACAAACTCCTGGAGACAACAGCAGATGCAGCATCTGAAATCCTGAAAAAGGCTCAAAGGCTCATCACCACAAAGCTATGCAGAGCTCGCTAAAACTACACTCACAAGAATAATTGTTTTTTAAACTGAAGACGTGCTGGAGAATCTCCAAGATGCATCTCAAAAGCTTTTAAGAAAGAGATAAAACTCTTCTCCACGGAGATGTTGCAGTTGGCTTTTCTAAGTACAGAAATTCTGCAGCCATTTCAGCAGAGTTGAGATCAAAGGTAAAAGGGGTGAAAGGTTGCTGTCCTTCACACCAGACATGGTAGACGCTCTGACTCTTTTAGTTAGTAAAAGAAAGGCGTGTGGGGTTCAGGAGGCCAACTGCTTCTCGTTTGACAGACCCAGCTGTCAAAGTCATTACAGAGGACAGGACTGTCTGAGGTTCTACGCAATGCAGTGTGGTGCTCAAAATCCAGAACATCTCAGATCAACACAGTTGTGTAAAACATGTGGCGACTCTCTCACAAATTCTTAATCTGGAAAAACAATGAATTGGATCATGTTGCACATTTTTTGGACATGACGTTCGTGAACGCTGTGAGTTTTACAGGCTCCCAGAAGTGACAACTCAGCTGGCTGAATGTTTGTGTGTTTTGGGTATGAGGTGTTAAGTGTAGACGATGCTTTGCCAAACCCCGTGAGGAGACACGAAGTCACCAGGTAGATTGTGACTGAACGGGTGAGTGGAATGCAGTTGCAGGCTAAAGATGGAACGACTCTGAATAATTCTTT